GGTAATTGTATCAAAGAAACCCATTACATATTAGGCCCTGTCTACATTACAGCTATCCCTAAAGGGTTAACCCTTACTGTACTGGGGGGGGGGGGGGGGGCCTAGGAGGCCCCCCCCCTCGACATTTTCGGAGATTGCGCCGCAACCGCTCGGAATTTTGAATTGTCGTTTCATGACTTTTTTTCCCTCAAGTCTTACGCACATTTTGATACCATTTTCGTCAAAATTGGATATACCTGTTAGGCGTTACATAACAATTAGTATGCGCATGTCATCAACAAAAAAAAAAAAAAATTAAAAATCCATCAAAATTTGCATAAATTATCATTATTAATTACATTAAAATAACTTTTTTGTGTTAGAAAAGAAGTTTCATATGAATAATGAGTTTCAACATTCAAAAAGGTGAGTTTGACACGTTTTCTGTAAAATGCATAAAATTAGTGCATTTTGCATAATTAATTAGGCTAACGACAAAAATTTGCATATTCGGAAAAAACTAATTATACCATCTTGCTCCTTACGTAAATATCTACAAACATGCAAATTTTCGTGTTCATCGGAAAATCGACGGCCGAGATCATGGGGGGGGGGGCCTCCCAGGCCCCCCCCCCCCCCCCCCCCCCCCCCCCCCCCCCCCCCCCCCCCAGTCAGTGGGTGCTCAAAATAGCCCAGTACATTAAGGGTTAAAGCTGAGTGTAATTTTTGAACAATATCCCAATCACATATATAATTTGTCTTCACATATATGATATACCAATACCAGTAAGCCTTTTTTCCTTCAAAGTACATGCATCTTTAAAGCTAATCTTGAGCTCTGCTATGAGAATCGTATTTTAATAATTGAGAGAGAATTGCTATGATTTATTCTTGATTGTTTATCCTGCTGTAGATTGGTTGTTTGCTCCAGTGAAACAAAAATAAATGTGGACAAACTTACTGGGAATCATCTTCGATCAAAACCATAACTCTCATTTGCGCGTACATATAGTGACCTGTGTATAAGCACATGATGTCGGGTCTACTTGCCCTCATTTCCTGATCTTTCTTCCCTCATTACTCAGCCACTATACATTATAATCTTAAACATTCAGTGTAAGTTTGGTTGGATTCTGTGAGAATTTATTTTTTATATTTACCATAACTCAAGCTTATCTTTTAAGTCCTTCCCTTTGCTCCATACAATATAGAACAGATCAATTAGGCCTAAAATAAAATTGTTTGTTGTATTGCCCTTTGCGTGCAAACATGGGTCGGTCGGACGGAAAAGTTTTTATTTTTTTTTACCTGTTTTTTTTTTGTCGCCCTCTTTGGGCCGATATTTTTCAAATTTAATGTTATTGTTGTGTTTTTTCCTTCTTTTTTCCCCGCCCTCTTTTGGCTGATATTTCTCTGTTTTTTTAGTGCTTCATTACATCGTCATCATTCCATTAATATCTTTTTCATCTCTTAATTATACATGGTTTGCAGGAGTGAGAATTTTGGAATAATTTGATTTTATGCATTTATATCCCAGAGGACACTTTTTTCTTCTTTTTTGGTCATGAAATTTTTAGATTTGACATTTTGTTCCCTTGGGGGAGTAAGGTCACCTTTTTAGGTCAGCCATTGTCAATTTTTTTTGTTTAAATATTTTTTTTTAAATAAATACAATTTTTAATAATTTTTTTGGGCCGGGGGGCGGGGGGGGGGGGGGGGGGGACCCCTCTGGATCTGCCACTGATATTGGTATAAGTGTATGTGATAAACATTTCTTGTGAAAGTTTAATGACTGATCATCCAGTGCTATAATGCAACTCTTTAAAAATATACACTGCACAACTCTACATGTACCTGTATATTTAAAACGAATCAGGCACTACAATTCAGATATGCAGATAGACCTATCTTTATGTATGATATTTATTTTAATAAAATAAATTTTATTTTGCAAATAATTATTTCTGTTTCTGGTTTGATATGTGTTGTTGAATACTATATAACTTTCCTTCGGAGGCCGTAGATCATGAATGTTGCCTTACAACGTAAATTATAAATTTTACCCCAGGGTTGATGTGTCGATCATCAGTGGCATTTTAAATCAACTTTGATTATTATTTAACCCATAGCAGTACAGTGTCTCTTTAGCATTTCTTCTTCCTCCTCCTCCTTCTCTTCCTCTTCCTCGTTTTCGTCTCATTCTTTTTATGCCTCCGTTACGAAGTAGCCGGAGGCATTATGTTTTCGGGTTGTCCGTCCGTCCGTCTGTACGTACGTCTGTACGTACGTCTGTACGTACGTACGTCTGTACGTACGTACGTACGTCCCGTTCTCGTGATCGCGTTATCTGAAGAACCGATTGATGGATTCCTGCCAAACTTTGGTCATGTATGTATCTTGCAGAGCCGATGAACTGATTAGATTTTGGGGTTACGATGTCAAAGGTCAAAGGTCACAGGGCTCATTATGTATGCAAAAACAGCTCGTGATCGCGTTATCTGAAGAACCGATTGATGGATTCCTGCCAAACTTTGGTCATGTATGTATCTTGCAGAGTCAAAGAACTGATTAGATTTTGGGGTCATGAGGTTAAAGGTCAAAGGTCACAGGGCTCATTATGTATGCAAAAACAGCTCGTGATCGCGTTATCTCAAGAACCGAGTAATGGATTGCTGCCAAACTTAGGTCATGTATGTTACTTGCAGAACCGATGAAGTGATTAGATTTTGGGGTCACGAGGTCAAAGGTCAAAGGCTACAGCGCACATTATGTATGCAAAAACAGCTCGTGATTGCGTTATCTCAAGAACCGATTGATGGATTGCTGCTAAACTTAGGTCATGTATGTTACTTGCAGAGCAGATGAACTGATTAGATTTTGGGGTCATGAGGTCAAAGGTCAAAGGCCACAACGCACATTATGTATGCAAAAACAGCTCGTGATCGCGTTCTCAAGAACCGATTGATGGATTCCTGCCAAAATTAGGTCATGTATGTTACTTGCAGAGCCAATGAACTGAGTAGATTTTTGGTTCATAAGATCAAAGGTCAAAGGTCATGGGCTCATTATGTATGCAAAAATAGCTTGTGAACACATTCTCATTAGAACTGACAGATGGATTACTATTTAACTCAGGACATCTTGCAGAGCCAATGAACTGAGTAGATTTTAGGGTCATGAGGTCAAAGATCAAAGGGTCATATATGTATATGAGAAATTGCTTGTAATCACGATATTCTGAGAACCTGTTAATGGATTACAATTGAACTTGAATTCGAAAAATGTCTTCTGTTTTGGTTTGTAAAATTGCTCTATGACGGAGGCATCATTTTCGACTGCGCGCAGTCGAATTCCATCTAGTTTTTCTTCTTCTTCTTCTTCTTCTTCTTCTTCTTCTTCTTCTTTTTCTTCTTCTTCTTCTTCTCCTCCTTCTTCTTCTTCTCTTCTTCTTCTTATTCTTCTTCTTCTTCCTCTTCTTCTCCTCCTCCTCCTCCTCCTCCTCCTCCTCCTCCTTCTTCTCCTTCTTCTTCTTCTTCTTCTTCTTCTTACTCTTCTTCCTCTTCCTCTTCCTCTTCCTCTTCCTCTTCCTCTTCCTCTTCCTCTTCTTCCTCCTCCTTCTCCTCCTCCTCCTCTTCTTCTTCTTCTTCTTCTTCCTCTTCCTCTTCCTCTTCCTCTTCCTCTTCCTCTTCCTCTTCCTCTTCTTCCTCCTCCTTCTCCTCCTCCTCCTCTTCTTCTTCTTCCTCTTCCTTTACTTCTTTATTCTGTTGTTTTGTGTGCAATATCTTATCCAGAATGCTAGAAATTAAACATTGTTAATGAGCAGAAAGCAAAATTCACAGAAGAATTTAAAGACTATTTCTAAGCATTGAGCCATCCACAAATAAGAGTGATTGAATCGTCACCAATCTAAGTCTAAAAAATAACAAGACAGTGTAATATATAATCACGATTTTCAAGTACATTTTGGCATTTTTTGTTTAGATTTTCATTCAGAATTGGGGTCAAATTTTCATCAATCTACTTCTTTGGTGTTCTGCTTTCTTTCGTAGCAACTTGGCATACTTGCTATTATAAGTTTGTATTTTCCTTTCAGATAAGAAACAATTAAAACTAACCACATAAACACAATGTGAAATATTCTTCAAAAACCAGCTATTTATCAAACAGGTAGTTGAGGGATTCTCCAATACTCTTCTAAAATGGGAAAGCCCCAGCCAATACCCCCAAAATGGTGCAGCTGCTAGGTGCATTAACACCCTCCCCCTATTTTTCTCTCTCTTCCCCAGCCACCTCCCTATAATAAAGTTTCCTTAACAAGTCTCTTTAATTCCTCTTAATGTTGTTATCTCCTGTACTTATTTCATCTCTTTCTGTCTTCTTTTCTTGAATCTCTCCTCATGTTTCTTTACTTCAATTTCTCTCTCTCTCTCCCTCTGTCTCTAATTCTCATTTCTCCTCCCAGTTTCTCTCTCTCTCTCCCCCTCTTCTCTCTCTCTCTCTCTCTCTCTCTCTCTCTCTCTCTCTCTCTCTCTCTCTCTCTCTCTCACACACTCTTTGTTTGGGGGCTGTAGACAATTGGGATCGAGTATATAGGCCTACATTTAGTATACAGCAGTGACTTTTGTGACCACAGGATTTTTAAACAGTTTTTTCGGAACATCTGCACCAGCAAAGTTTAGGGTTGCTATAGTAGACCAAAATACTAGCCTCCGAAATTTAATTTAATTTAATTTAATTTAAAAAAATTAATGGAGTTATCTCTTGATATTATAATTAGTGCTGTCGGGTACGTGTTTTTTGATTTAATGATATTCAGGTTTCCTTTCCTAAGGATGGGATCATCCTTAAATAGTTCTTAGCTTCCTGCCAAATGCGGGTGCTTTTGAAATCATTATCGCCACCCTCGGGTGCTTATCCGTAATATATATGTATATATTATATTTAAATAATAAATAAATAAATAAACTGTAGCGACTTGCCCATTTTGGGGTCGATGTTGATAGAGCGAGGTACGTGAACGTACGTGGGACGATGTAAGAGATTGTACGGAACCTAAACACGTGGGGCTTGTGTTCAAGATTTCGTCGTTGACATTGAGATTTGGGCCATTATTTGTGTCTTTATAAGTAGACTGGTATAACTGCACAAGGTCAGTATGATTTTAAATAATATTGTTATCTAGAATTATTATTGCCTTGTTTCAAAGTATACTCAGATATGTTCTTTAACATCATTAAGTTACAGATAACAACTGAACAAGCACGCGTACGCGGACTACGGTACTCGAAAATCCCGTATCACCGGCCGTACCGGTCGGCTGGCGCTGGCTAAGCCGTGGCATGGAGCTCCATGGCCATGGGTGTGACGTGTGACTGTGAGATCTTGTGCCTGTCATTGCGCTTGATTTGTTAGACTGTCTATTGACTAGATCTAGATCTATGTCACATTTTTGTTCAGAATGTGGAGAAAACAGAAGGTAGACAATGGTAGATGAGAAAAGGAGAAGCATTTGTTCAAGGGATGGGAAAAAAAGAACGAGGAAAGAAGGGGGAAAAAGAAAGGAAAGCAGATGACAAAAAGATGTGAAGTTGAAGAAAAAACGTGTTTGCGTTAAATATTAAAGGGTCGAATAAGCCAGCTCCAGCTTAGCGATATATTAAACGGTGGCCATACACAGTCAGTAGGGGCGCTGGTCTGAGAATGAGGATCATTCGCTTAGGATATCCTCGTAAATGCTGCCAAAATGCGTCGTAATAAATAAGGATTTTCACGGTCGTTTTTTTTCTCGGGCGTGCTTGTGTGTACATATGGGGGCCACTTATTTTAACATGTAGAGTAGTAACTCCGGGAAGCTCCAACACCGGCGCCGCAGGCGTCGGAGCTTCGGGTGGTTTCCTTGGTTTCTCTTGGGGGCTAGTAAAACAGCCGATTGGGTGATATTATCGTGAAATCTGCAAAGGGAGTACTTACAATTTTTACATCATAGGGTGCATGACTCCTCAGGGCTCAACTCCAATCACTTGAATGTATAATTTGAAGAAGTCTTCGATGGGAAAAAAAGGTTAATTCGGGGTACTACACCAACGATTCTTCCATGTCGCAGCGTTGATTCAAATTTTTTTTTTAATTTAAATTTATTTTTTACAAGTATTACAAGTAATTTGATGAATTTTTAATACCATACCTGCCAACCCTTACGAATAATTCAGAATATTCTGTTTTGGGGGATTTCTAGGACCAGAAAATCCGGAATTTTCTGATTTTTCAAAAAAAAAAAAAAAAAAAAAAAATTGATTTTTTTTTTTTTTTTTTTTTTTCAAGAACGCGTGGCGCTAGGTCGGGCCGATCAGGAACGCGTGGCGCGCGCGCCACGCGTTATCTGTGTACGCGAGGGCCATGGCGATGAGAAGGTACGCATGCGCGGCAGTGGCGAAGAAAATATGAATATTCAGGCTATCGAGCGCCGATCGCTCGAAATCGCTGAATATGCACGAGATTGAGAAGGGCTCTGTTTGTTCGAGTCGTGCATATTCAGCGATTTCGAGCGATCGGCGCTCGATAGCCTGAATATTCATATTTTCTTCGCCACTGCCACGCATGCGTACCTTCTCATCGCTATTTTGAATCAACGCTGCGACATGGAAGAATCGTTGGTGTAGTACCCCGAATTAACCTTTTTTTCCCATCGAAGACTTCTTCAAATTATACATTCAAGTGATTGGAGTTGAGCCCTGAGGAGTCGTGCACCCTATGATGTAAAAATTGTAAGTACTCCCTTTGCAGATTTCACGATAATATCACCCAATCGGCTGTTTTACTAGCCCCTAAGAGAAACCAAGGAAACCACCCGAAGCTCCGACGCCTGCGGCGCCGGTGTTGGAGCTTCCCGGAGTTAGTAGAGTAGTGGCTCCGGTCTGCGGCCGATCGGCGGGAACTGCCGATTCTATTTTTATTGGAATACTCACAGAATACTTCAATACCCTCAATAAAGAGTCCATATACTTACTTATTAAATAGAAGTCACAAATAACCTAACTGACCCACAGCATGGTCAGCATTGACCACGTTTCGAAATGCTTCGAGTTCCCCGGTTTGCGGGCACGCATTAGCGGTTTGCGGCACGCGTACGTCACAAAGCTTTATGCGCTACGTCACGATGAAAGCATGTACCAAATTACTACGGGTAACCCAAATTCTCATGTTTATCTGTTGCTACGGTAAATTTGTCAAGTTTTAAACAATTTCACCTTTTCCTCGAATGGATCATCCCATCCGGGGGTAAGTACTACTAGAAACTATCGGGTCATAGCGGGTACACACATCAGCACACATACCATCATACACGATCCCGCATGTTATGTGTGTATTAGGGCAGGTCCAAGCTATTGTCCCCTCTGGGGGTCAAATTTCATCTTTATATATATTTAACAAACTATACCTCATTTTAAAGCTGAAACTATGAATTTTATGAATCTGATAAAAAATTAAAAAAATTATCAAAATACGAAGAGTGCCAAGGTCACGAACTTCGATTTGTATTAATTAGCGTGACGTACGGGACATTACATTTTTATTTTTGTATCTCATTTGAATTATTTGTTTAAAATTAAATATCTCAGGACATGAAGACCATCATGCTATAAAATAGGAAAAAAATATAAAAACTTTCAAAATGAATTAATTATGCAAATGAGGTAGGTTCCAAAGTGTGATGTCCCGTACGTCACAATTTGATCATAATTTGTTTAATTTTAATTATGAAAATAATTTTTTTTTTTAAAGATATTCTAGGAAGTTCTAATTTAGATGAATACCTAACAAAAAATAGGTTTAACAAAAATTTCAAAAATTCTGTGTTGATTACATAATCAAATTAAGAAATGTGACGTACGGGACAAGTGTGTGACGTACGGGACAACTGCATATAAAACCAATGCGAGATGTGAAAAAGGAAATGACCAAAAATGAGAATATATACTGGGCAATTCCACGGTAACGGAAGGACACTCAGACAAGATTTTTGAACTTCAGGTTCATACTAAAAGAAATGTTTTATTAGTATGTGGTCATTTTCACGGTAAAGGGTGTAACTTTGAAATTTGGACATTTTTTTCTCCAGTGATCTTATAAAGCTACAGAATTCAAAGATATTTTGGCATATGAGTAACCTACTTGGGTGCTACCTTGGGTAGCATAAACTTCTTCAGGGATTACTTCGTTAAATTTTGGCAGGCACATAAGTACCCTAAATGTGACCCTTTTGATGTACACAAAATACATAGACATTTTTGTAAAGCCCTGCATTTTTTTCAGGAACAGCGAGGATTGTTTTTGTTATGCAGAATGTGAAGTTAGATGTTCAATAAAAAGTGCCAAAGAAGTTGTAACTGTAACTGCTCCTCTATTTTTGAGAACAGAGAGTTGTTATTTGTCGTTTCGGAGACTTCATTTTCCGTTAACAATAGTTAACAAACTTCATAGCAAGAGCTCTGGTTTGAAAAGTGCTTTCTACCATTTCATTTGTTCTTGATATAACACTTGATATCTATACTTCCAACTAATGACAAAATTTGTCTGATCATGTTGCTTGTAAGAATTTTTTAAACGCTTGACTGAGTCGTGCCATTTTTCCGTTAGCTGAATTGAAGCCTCCGAAACAAACTATTCAGACAGCTTGTACAAATATGAATATAGGAACTTATCCAATCATTATATCAAAATGTAGCATTAGGACCCCTAAATCACTTGTCAAAAAATAGCTGAGATATTCCCCACTGTTAAAGAATAACAGACAATACAAACTTTCCGTTAGCACTTGAAGCCTCCGAAACACTTGAAGCCTCCGAAACAGCCAAAAGATTATTTTTCATTTTTTAAATACCTAGACCGATGTGTTTCATGTTAAATCTGCATGGCAATCATAGGTTAGGATGTGCAGGCTCCCTTGAAGTTGAAAGTAAATAGATATCCAGTTAATTTTTTTCAAGACTTACTAATAACCAAAAAAACTTGTTTCGGAGGCTTCAAACTGTAGTTAACACCATATTTTTGGCTATTGTGGTTTTATAGATAGGGGATTGTTTACAGTTTTCCTATTGAATGTTTGGTTTTGGTCTATTAAAGGACAGGAATGTGTTAGATGTTATTGGCTCTTTATTTTTTTAATGATTTACAAATAGTCAGTATTTCAGAAAGAAATTTTACACCAGTACTAGGAGTATTCACCTGTTTCAAACCTTGATAATGTAAGAATCATTCACCAAATAATAAAAAAAGTTTATACATATAAATCTTCCAAGATTTATGAATATTTTAATATATAAAGTATTAAAATGAATCACTGTATTTTCCCAAATTATAAGACATCCATAATATTTATCCAATTTGTTTCGGAGGCTTCATTTAGTGTTAACAACATGTATCATGGTCTTTGCCAACCCCTTATGATCAAATGGCAAAGGCCATGCCATCCAAAGACCATTTGTAACAGTAGGAGAGAAATTTGGTGGGCAAAGAACCCTCTAGAAATGTTTGGGTAGCAGTGTGTACAACCCCTTTTAAGACAATGGAATAATAATAATAATATTTAGTTCTTGTGTAGCACATATTGAACGTCTCTATGCGCTTCCAAATTTGGAAATTATTACCCCGGCTTTAGCATGGCTTCCATTACGGCGCTTAAGCATTTCAAGGAATTAATTCCTGCCAGGTACCCAATTTACCTCACCTGGGTCGAGTGTGGCAAATGTAGATTAGTGTCTTGCCAAAGGACATTAGTGCCGCGGCAGGACTCGATCTGCGGACCTTGTCCACAACAATAGACCATGAAGATCATGAAGATATTGACAAGGTTACAGCAACATGTGCTAGCAACATCTGATACTAGATAGCATCTCTTCCAGACAGGCATGAACACTACAGGCAGTTCTCTCATTTCCTTACTGTTATCCACAGGAATATAGAGGTAAGAACTGTATATTTTGTCCTTAAATTACTTAACTTGTACTTTTTGTTTAATGGGTCATTGTAATGGAACTGATGTGTGAAAGTTTTTGAAGTTTAGATTTGTCACTAAAAATATAGTGAGGCCTAGTAACGATCTGTATTGTACATTGTACATGTACCTTTATCATACTCAATGTTTGTGGT